GCTGACGGCATGTTTTGACTGCGTCCTGGTTCTGAGCCGCTTGATGACGAGGTCAGACACAAGGCATGCCTGTTCAGCGTTATCTGGTCGATTTGTGGCTGAGTATTTATCAACTTTATACATATTTCAAATGGAAGCTTCCCACGCATTGCGGACCACGTGTCGATCGCTTTTCCCGCCACGGGTTATAATGGTAACCTTGAGATGGAATTGGCGACCACATTTTAAATTGCGAGGACTTCACGGATGAAGTACCATTCATTCCAGGCAAGTGCTTCAGCCTCTAGCTCGCTTGTAATCTGTAGCTTGAGGACACCATGGATAAGGAGCGATTTTAAGTCATTTGTTTGCGGTAGTCATCTGAGTTTAGTTTGTGTTTCTGAAGTTCTCTCCAAGGAACATACGGAAAAAATGCGAACAGAGAATGGGCAGTTCGGAGGTGAGTGGCTGACATGAGAACCGCTTCTCTTGACTGAAAGTTCACATGAAGTAATGGTGTTTCACCGTGGTGTACCGAGCTTGGATGACGGAAGAAGCGCATCATATTGCCAGCTTTTGCCTGGACACCAATTATTTGACACATGTAGCCCCACTGTTTTTGGTCATATAACACTTTGTTTTTAATGGAGTTCGCTTTGGATTCAGACATATGTGGCATATGACAATAAGCAGGTTATGATGCTGGTTGGAGTTCTCTTGTTGGAGCAGTTTATGATTGCTTTGTTTTGGTCGGACAACTGATAGCATACTAAGTAAGGTGGTAGTATTCTCGGCCCTAGCTGCTCCTAGTTTTGCAGCGGTCGAAGCGATAGTAGATGCGTATGTTGTTGATCTCACAACATTGTTGGATTTACCGCAAAGCTTTGATGAAGGATGTTGTCATGCGGAACCCAAGAAGCAGGTCCTGGTATGGTGACAAGATTAAGCGTGGTCTGTGTGCCAAACTGTTGCTCACTGCTTTTACACCCATACTGGCCGCTCTGTTCCGAGTTGGGGTTTGATGTTGTAGGTCTAGTTCTAGGCTGTGTTTCTTCTGGGTCCAGTGGGACACTTGCTACTCTACAACCTTTGGTAATCTGTCGCACTTCTGCACCAGCATAACTAAGCATCTGACGGGTGAAATAGCCGAAGAATTTGCAGAGCCAAAACGGAATTGTTGAATAAATTGTTTATTTCTCGACTGTGCGGGACACGGCCCAATTTCTTGGGCTGATCAAATAGTGCAAGATGATCATAAGTTCATTGATTATTGGGGTCAAGGGAAAAAGGTAGGCGTGCTCTTAGCTTGGTGAAGTACGTGTCGTTTAACCTAGTCAATCAGACTCCCAAAAAGCACTTTATCACATGTTGCTTGGTAATTCATCAAGATACTGCAAAGCAGCAGTTTTGTGTCAGTCATATGCTGGTATATACTCGACTTGCGGTGTAGTCTGTCATTGTAGCGGTGTAAGAGGTAAGTAAATGGAAACGGAGGTACCATATTCGAGAGCGGCTTGAGCTAGAGAAGTCGTTGTTTTGTTATGTAGAATGACCAATACGCTAGCGTTGTTTGCGTTTCGTTTCTTTCCTCATTTAGGCTAAGAAAAAGCGTTTGGGAGAGAACATTTGTTTGCAACAGTTAGACCATGCTATTCCACTTCGAACATTCTTAAAACAGCTTCCATAATTAAGGTTTTATTGCAGGGTTATTGAACGATTTTGTTAATGTTCGTGTCGAGCAACAAGTGCATCAAAGGCTCTCAAGCAAACATGTCATCCGTCAGGTGAAAGTAAATCGATTGTACCTTATACATCTTCATTATTTTCTTGTATTTTCTTTTTACCAGGATAAGCCTAACATACAGACCCCAAAATTCTGAACTAGAATGCATTATGCGAGCAGCTGGCTTAACACATCATATCAAGCTCTAATCCATTAGTCTTCTATGCCTTGGTCAGCTGGTCACCTAAAAAGAAACACTAAACTATGCGTTTGTTTCATAGTAACCCTCATGTAGAATGCGATACTGTATAGAAAAACATGGCTTATAAGTTAGGTGTTATACTCTACGTTTTGCGAATTTGGTTTTAATGTTGCTCTTCTAGCTACGCAATTGATCTTCTTCTCTTACCCACAGGGAATGAAAAACTGTTTTCGATCCGTTCACAGAACAGGAAGCGACCTGGAGATTCTCCCGTTTGTCTGGATACTATGTTAAAATATTTTATAGGCTTATCATGTACCTAGGCGAGGTAGAATGTTCGCTTGTTCCAACAAGGACCAGGTGTATTCAAGTCAATCAGGCGGATTGCACTTTGCGCGTTACTGGTTTTCCTCCTCGAAGAGTGCTGAAGACGTCTGTCTTGGCAACCACAATTCTCCTCCTAGCTATAACATTTTCGGTGGCCTTAAACTAGTGGAATTGTACATTTCGACTATAAATGTGTATCTCGTCCATTTATTTGCCTTCTTTCGGTTTTTCTCTAAGTCGGGACGAAACTGGGTTTACAGAGACAGACCGATTGCGATATCAACAAGCAAGTTTCAACGAAGTTTGCAGAGGTACAAAAATAAAGTATGAAGTAAAAAAATTTTACACTAAACTTTGTAAAATAATTCACACCATGTTGTCTGAATAAAGAGAACATTTTTATATTTTGAGCCGGAGAAGCATACTGGATTTCCTTTTACCCCAAATGCTGATTACCCCTGGGTACATAGATGAAAATTAATCGCAAAATCTCGAGCATACCGAAAGAACATGGTTCGTAAAAGCGAGAAAATGCAATATCAATGTTAGCAGAACAATAATGCTTATACAACAAATGGTGGGTGCAACGAGTGCGGTATATATTTTCCGTTGAATATCGAGTTGGCGATGACATCAAAGGAGCCAGTGAGACGTTCGACCTTGTGGGCACATTTGCAAGCACGTTACCTGTGTAGATACTAATACCAGGCATCTAAAATCGCTTTTACCAGTTTAGTAAACCGCTAGTGTTTTGCTTTTAGCAAGATTATATCGGTTGGCTACTACACCTGGTAGTGCCTTTCAGAACGCGACGCGGTGCAGACGAGTTAGGTATTGGAGAACCAACGTCTAGATATTATAACAGTTTGAAAGTGGAAACTCAGGCCCAAGTTACGCATTTCTCTCGTGGTACCCTTCCAACTCGTTGTTCTACTGCGCCTTATCACTCACAACTTAGCGCTAGAGGTAGCATTCTCTACTACGCAACCTTCGTCCGAGGCAATCCACGATTTCCCTGCTTTCCTTGCGTCTCCTGGGCTCCACAGAGCTTGAGAGAGCATTTCGAATTCGTCCACACCGAAAGTGATGTAAATTCGTAAATCTAACCAAGCACTCCCTGTACGTTACTACCCTGTTCAGCAAAGTGTCACTACTTGAGACTATAATTTGTATCTGTGAGTATGTTAATGCAAATCACATAAATCTTGATTTACTCACAATGATTCCAGAAGAACTGTTTCTCAGATGCTTATTAAATATGCAGTTTCTCTTCATTGGCGAAAAATCCAGGAGGCACGATCAGATCGTCATGGAATCTCCATTTGGGCCTATTCTCGCTGATGTTTTCATGGGTATAGAGCAACAGGGCAAATTAGAGCCAACATTCGCAGTTTACGGTGAGTTATTCATATCCAAGGCAGGCCAGAGATGGAACATTACTCTAGTAGTATACAGGAGGACAGCTGTGCGATGTCAAGGTAGTACAGGTAAAACTGAAAGCTAATGAGATCCAACTACTTAAGATAGGACGCCTTATGGCGAAAAACAACGAAGTAAATTCTTAAACGAAATGTGGTTAACAAGCACTTACATCAGAAAGCTGCCACAAATGTTTTCGTGGTTATGCAATAACGTATAGAATCTAAGCACGCAGTTTACAGCCAGAACTAAAGAATCCATCAATTATCTATAGGCTCCATGGTAGCAAATTCTGCAAAAGCCAAACCAGTTATTTTAATTAACTTGGCGAAGAAATGTTCGCAAATGAAGGAAACACTACCAGTAACAATCTAGGTTTGACTCAACACTTCGTAGTACACGCACCAGGAGGTCAATGGAACAACGGAGCTATTGTCTGTAAGGGATAAAATAGCAAATACTTGAAAAGTCCAGCTGGTTGGTCAGGGGGAAAACGGTCACATAAAGTGTATCGATAAAAGGTTCATAATACATGATTTACCAAGAGGTTTGTGTTAGCACAGAAATGAGTATTACTGCCTGCTTTATTGCACTAAATCCGCATTTGATGGTCATGTGCTATATCATTTGGCCTAAGTGGGTCAGTGTGTCAAATAGTTGTTTGAATGCTGTTAAGGTGGAGGCATTAATTACACGCACTGTGAGAGAGTTTGATGACCGGACACACGCAGTGAGAAAAGTTTCGTCCACATTTCAGTGGGCTATATTGCGTAAACAGATGGTACCCCAGAGACGTATTACGGTTGAGTTTCAAAAGTCGGTGGTATCGTGGATTTAGTATTTTTAAGATCTGCTACCATATAAAGTCCGCCGCACAGTACTAGACTTTTTATCCTGTGTGGGTAGGGAAGATGGGATGAGCCATCGACGTTCATCGTCACCCTACATCATGCAGTCTCGAGCGCAGTGTGGTGCTGCTGCTGTCAGGTTTGCCACGCTTGGATGGAATATCCCGCGTGTGTCCTCATTTATACGCTAAGTATTTTCCGAAAAGTGGTGACATCAAGTTTTCCAAACGCCTGTTGAAATTTCCGATCACATACTGCGCATTTTATTTTCCATTAGCGCTACCACAAAATGTAATAAATCTGGGTACTAAGGAAATAGTTCGATTTTCAAAACTGGCACAGAAAAGCATTGATTCACAGCGCGCAGAAAAGTAAATGGCTAACAGCTCCTGTAGTAGGAAGGCGACAGTGTGTATTTCTATAAAAGAGGTGAGCTCGCGACTCTAATTCCGCAAACAGAGGATAACGACAGCTAAATCTCGATTTCAGTGTACACATCATTGATCCATACAAAAGTGATTATATTTTTAAGAACCACCAAACCATTTACATGAATTTTATTATCCTGGCAGTTTGTGCAATATGATCCAACGGTTTCGGAACTAACATTTCAGGCATATTAAAGAAGTAATGCGTAATGTACTTCTTCTGAATTGGATGAGTGGGATTGTGTATTTGAATACAAAACAAAATCCGCATAAAGTTATTTACTTTAGCTAGGCTCCAAGGAGAAACTAATTTGCACAGAATACTTGTCATGTGGTAATGAACAGTTTAGTTATAAAAAATGGGCTAAATTCCGTTCACATTCTCTTCGTCCGTTGTGTCAAAGACCTCGTCAAACTGACCACTGTCAAGCGAGGCCACGGACAGTGCAACGGATGCTAGCTGCTCTTGCGGTTGCGGCAGGGAAAAGTTAACCTGCGAAGGTGAAGTCACGGATAAAGTATCATAAAAGCCAGGACAGTTGCTTCTTCCACTTTGTCCAGGGTTTAGCGAAGACGGATTCATATTTGCGGCTGTTTGGGGCCACATCTTGTTTGCTGACGCCAAAGACAGATCTTGAAAACGAGATCGTTGACTGTAACCATGTTTAGTAAGTGAACAGTTTTTGGTTTGCTCATAACTAGTGCATGTGTTGTCGCAGGCAAGAATACTTGCGTAGGTGGTCTGTAGAGAGGATAAATAAGTTTGAGATGAAGGCAAATTATACTGGAAATAATAGAGACAATTAAGACAAAGCATTCGCTTTGTCTTAAAGTACAGCACAAGTGAAACAAAGTTATTTTGGCCGTTCTACAAGTATGTGCGTAGATAAATATAGTTCAGCGCTTAGAACCGCATCAGGAACAGAATATGTGATGAATAATTGATGAGCAAACATTTACTTTCACACACGAGGAATTCTTCTAATGGGCATCCGTATGGATAACGTAATCAACTATCTAAAGCAGCGACACAAATAGGATAACCGCAATGGGTGTACGTCAAGCTAATGATACTAACCTAAATGGTTGCACAAGTCATGTTTGAAAATTCCGCTAATCCGTATCCAAAACTGTTCACACTACTTTGTTTATTCTTTGTGTATTATCGCAGTATTAATTTGGGATAAGTGGTTTCAAGTTTTCTTCCCAGTTTCTGGAACCAGCGAAAGTATACAGTGGCGTGTCATAGCAGCGGAGTCCGCGGTGATTTCCGTCACGCTGACTTATTTAGAATTCAGTGTAACACTTCACTGCGTGGCACTCAACAATAAAGACGCTGCTAAGGATGAGATGCTCCAGTGGCTTAGCGTTGGGAGTGGTTTCTTAAAGACTTGCACTATCAACACAGGAATAACTACAAAACACCCGCACTACTCTGCCAAAACAAAGTGCCCAAATAAGCTATAAACAGTGCCTGTTGGGTTAGAAAAATTTGCCATTGTAATTAGAAAAAGAGAAGTTGTCCTGTCAAATTTCTGAGTTTTGTGACCCAAATCGCAGAAGTTCTTTGCAAACGTTTGATCAGAAGGAGTTAAGCGACAACAATAGGACACAAGGAATACAAGGTATCGGCGGTTTTAATGGTTAGAGTATTATACCTCATACAACGGTGCACATAGAAAAGTCAGTTACTCTGGACAAAAGTAAGTAACCCTATTTCAATAACCTGCAGTTTTCGTCCCACCAATTATTGTTTTGATTTACGTGGATGTCCAGCTTGTGCTGCTTTGCAACCTGGCGTATATCCTATTAGAACTGAAGAACATATTTTCAGAGAGGTTTGGAAACAATTGGTTGGCATAGTAGTTTGCTAACGTTTCGCCCTTGACACTAGGGCTTCGTCAGACTGATGGAATCCGTGTGCAATTGGAGTGGGATTTTATAGCGAACAGAGGATATAACCGCGTTACCCGAGACTTGAGCCAAGGTGTCATTACAGTAACAGTTCGTGATGTCACCTCAGGTGGTTCAATCACAGTATGAATAGTCGAGGTGTTTCTTTGTGTGTCATGACTTTGACGGATAAACCCATAGTGTTGACAATGGGAGTCGGTTTGCACTTTCCAAGCTGATAAACGCACCGATGCTCATCAGGCTGGCCGGGTTAAGACCGCTCGCCACGCATTAGGGAGTTCTACCCCCTCCATTCTATTCACACAGTCGCCAGATTTGGCAATTTCTACCGCCTCGGCAATCAACCGCTGAGGTGTTGATCGTACACCCCTCCTAATGACCTCCACGTTTTCCAAGTCTATCCGGTGACCTGTGTCTAATGCATGCACAGCTACGGCCGAGTCTCTTACTATTGCCTAGTATTCAAGCTCATTTCGTGGTGGTTTTGAAATGCGCCTCCTGTGCTCTGAAATTCGTGTGCGTAATTCTCTCGCTGTACACATGTGCACAATGTTTACATTTAATTTTACAAACCCAGTTAGTCATCCTATCCTTGGGAAGTGGGTCTTTCAGGTGTACCAGCGCCAACCGTAACGTTCGACCTCGCTGAAATATCACCATTATATTTTCCTTGTTTAGTACTCTCCGAAGTGCCTTCCTTGTAGGGAATTCCTACCGTCCCTATCCACTCGGTTGTGGGTCTTGACTGCCGGTTTAGCACTTTATGCAATTGGCGTTTGACTAGCTACCGTGGGTAACCACTTTCTAATAGTTTGCTCATTGCCACTTTCCGCGCAGCCATTTTGTCCTCCTCTATCGTGCACAAGGTTTGTGCCCTGTAGAACAGCGTTGAGGCTATCCCAGCGCAAACCTGTTTCGGATGACCCGAAGTGTAGTGGAGTACGCCGTCAGTATCCGTTGGCTTGCGATATATTGTCGTATTTAAATTTCCCCCATTCCTGTGAACCATGCAGTCAAGAAATGGTCTTGTACCGCTACAAGATTCCAACTCTATAGTAAACTATATCGTCTCATCAAGGGAGTTTAAATGATCAAACAAGTCGTCCTTCTTATCCCGTCTAACGAGTACAAAAGTGTCGTCTACATAACGCCACCAAACTTTTGGTTAGTTAATGGTGTTTGTTAACGCCCTGTTCTCGAAATCTTCCAAACACATGATTGCCAGTACAGGGGATATTGGCGATCCCATGGCGAGGTCTTATTCCTGATTGTACAGCTTCGACTGAAAACGAAGTAAGACTCGTTAAGACACACAGTCATACCCTCGATTATCTGGTTAACCGTTAGTTTTGTCCGACCATTCAGAGTGACATCCTCATTTAGACGAGGTCTTGCTATTCCTAGCGTCTCAACTTTAGGTATATTGGTGAAAAGTGATGTGACATCGAAGCTGAGCATCAACTCAGCTGACTCGATTTTGAGACTTGCTATCTTTTGAGCGAACTCATAAGGGTTTTTTACGAATGTATTCTTTCGCCAAGTTAGAGGTTGCAATAGCCTTGCCAAATATCTAACCAGTTCACGGGTTGGGGGGCCTATACTGTCGACTATGGGTCGTACAGGAACTTCGGATTACTCAACTTTTGGAAAGCCATAAACCCTAGGAGGTAAAGTCGATTTTGGGTATAGACTGTACCACTTGCCTGCGCCTAAATCGTCCTTCACAGTTCTTAACTAGTTATGAACCTCCGTTTTAGGCTCGTTCATAACTGACGTCACGGTTTTATCAACAATTACTCGATATGGACCCGTCTCCAAATGTTGTCCCATTTGTTCCACCTGAGATGATATTACGCACAGTTAGCGTAATGACACCTTGGCTCAAGTCTCGGGTAACTCGGTTATAATCCCTATTCGTTATGAAATCTCACTCCAATTGCACACGGACTCACCTGTTCTGACGAAGTTCTTCTGTCAAGGGCGAAACGGTACCAAACTACTATACCAACCAATTGTTTCGAAATCTTTCTTAACTTATGACTACTCAATCGGTTCCAAGTATCTTCCAAGAATTTGAAGAACATATTGTTTAAAAGCCACTAATTCGCCTTGCATTTTCTTTTTGGATTTAAACGATGAACTCACGGACGTACAGTCGAAGTGATCTGTTTGTGCTAGTTCGTTAGACAATTCACTCTAGTGTAGACCAACACATTTAAACCAGTTGTGACAATTTTTTTAATTTTGCTGTCGTTGTACCAGTTGAATATTGCAAGTACTAAGAGCTAGATAATTCTTTGCAAGCACCTCAAAAATGCTTGCTCTTCTTTCATAATGAACATCGCAAGTTGGTTACATTAAGAGTTGTAATAATTTAACGAAGCAAATGATAGTTGAAAGCTGATGTTTTATGGATCAAATACTGATGCTGTTGCGTCAAGTGCGAAACGTTGCCATAGTAAAACCTACAAAATCGCTTTGTATTCAAAACCTTCTGAACTCAAATACTGAACACTTATTGCTATATTTACTTCCGATATCCGTTTGGGTGTACGAAACAAAGCTTTTTCCATATGGCAGTCCTGGTAGACCAAGCACGGAGGTGTCTTCAGTAGGTGAGAATTCTGCTGAGGCTCCCAAATACTGTTCGAAGGACTGGTAACTTTTCTCACAACAGAGCTTCCTGCGGTTACGCAAAGGTTCATGGGGTCTGCCTTCAACTCTTCTGAGTTTTGTGTAGAGTTTCTAAGGAGCGAAGGTGGTTGACTTTCATCAAATGCATCGAGAGCACAGGCATTTGATGGTGTGCAACGTAAAATCCTGTGGTGGAAATCCGTCATATGTTTCTTGACAGTGACGCCGACTGGAGTAGCTACGCCAGAAGCCGTACCATCCAAAGGGAAGAGAAATTGACGCGGTTGTAATATCTGCGATTCATTGGGTGCGGTGCTCTTTGTAGAAGTAATACTGACAGATTGAAGGGGGTCCCATTGTGATTGCTTTGTGGTCCGGGGGTGAGTTACCTTGTTCGGTCTGCTGAGCACAAAAAGAAGTTTGAGTTTCCGGTTTCCAAAAAATCCTAGGTTAATATCTTAATTAAATCGAGGTTGTTGATCACTTCACTTACCTTGGCAGCTGCATCCGCAAGGATGGGCGCATAGAAACTGAAGCCAGTTTAGGTATTAGGAAAGCTAGAACTGTCCTCTTGTATCTTTAACATCTATGGCGTCAAAAAGAAGTTTCCCTGAGTTTGAAAGGCCGGGTTCACTGGGCCACAGTGAGGGCCGTCCTAATCTATGGGAATGAGACTTGGCTTCTTCGATCTGAGGACGTGTGTCGCTTCTAAGCCTTTGATAATCTTTATCCGCGATGCATTGCTGGTGTCGGGTGGCAGCAGCGTGTGCGCGACAATTACGTGCGTAGGCGAGTACTAGGCAGTGATAACCAAGCTAGTTTCTTAGTACATAAAATGGCGACGAATAAGTTGCATTGGCTTGGACACGCGATACGTACGGCTGCTCCCCGCTTACCGACGAGGGCCATGTTTTGTCTGCCAGAAGTAGGGTGGCGCAAGGATCGAGGTGGGCAAAAAACTAACTTGTCAAAAGGAAATGAAGTCACTGACGACCAAACTCGGCGCCGCTGGAACCTCTCGCCTTCCAGGCTGGAGTCCACCTGACTTGCCTTGTGCTTGGCCTGAGACATTAAAGGACATGACACGTAATCCATACCAATGGTGCGTCTGCTGTCGTCTCGTAGTTGGAGTGCCTGTTTAAAACGTGTTTGGTGCTGAGTGATCTGCGGTGTATTAGCCGATTATGACGCAGGGCAGTGGAAATCGCAGGGAAGCTGCATCATCGATGCTGCCTTATCTTTATACGTAGACCGATGTTTGTAACGGTTTGAGTTTGGCACGAGATCTAGGCGCCTTTACCCTGAATGTTTGCTTAGGGCATTAAGTTGCCATCTTAGGTCCGTGTTCGCTCCCTATTATTATTCTTCGTTACTTAGGTTACCACGCTTGCACGGCTAGGAGGCATCAGTTGATATGGCTGATGGAATGCTTTTGATGATGATGATGATGATGTTTATAAATCTGGAACCATAAAAGCGTCTGTTTCCGTTCCACTTTACGGTAGCAAAAGTTTGATTTACGTCAGTCGGTGGCTCATGGAAGAGTCGAATATCGAAGTCAACCAGAGGGCCATGCCTCCTCAGTGTCCTGTGTTGATCAACAAGCAGTATCTGCATAGCAGTCTAGTGTAAATCATTTTGATATTCAGCTAACAAACATTGGCGTACTTTAAGAGAGAAATTAAGTAACTAGTATCAAGTGACAACAAACGTGTCTCACCACAACTAGCTGCGAAAGATAAACTGCCTGCGCGTTTCATACGAAAGTGTCGGTAGCCTCAACTAATGCGAAAGTTCACTGCAACTTGGTTTCGCACACATCCGGGGCTCATAAAATCATCGTAGAAAATACGGTGATGGATAGGAAATCTCATTGGCCTCGTTGGTACATTGTTACCAAAATATCTACCTAAATGAATGTGGTTCCGATAAACTACTGCCCCATCAGATCTAAATTTTATTTCCCATGTCAAATATGAGGTTTGAAGTGTTAACTTGTTTAGTTAACGGAAGTACTGACGATATTATCTTTGCAATGGTTTTGCAGATAATTCGCAGTCATTTCTGGATGCACATAAACTTTTGAATCATAAACACAGTGAGTGAGAACGGATCGGCTTACATATGCCCGTATTGAATATATTGCATTTGTGGTTCGTGTATGGAATACTTTTCAGAATGCAGGTTCAATTGCAGAGCATGCCATCTTGGGTTGGCCCTTCCAACTGGTTGACCAACTTCCACAAGGTTGGCTGGTTGCTTCATGCTCCCACTTATGCTCTCATTTCTCTTTATTGACATTTGAAGGCGCTGAGGATGAGACGTGTTTCCTGCTTCAAACCACTTGTGGGGATTTTCACGATGAGCAACCAAAGAACATTCATTATGTTGGCAGTTGGTAAGGTGATGCAAAATGTAGTGCTTCCTGTGTGTGTATGCGTCGGGAGTGTGAGGCATCGCAGTTGATAGGGTAAGGGTCTTGACCTCCGGTGCAACGGAAATGGGCTGTTCAATTAGGTAGTGTTTGGCCGTCGGAAAGTTCCGCCGGCTGAGTCTGCCTCGCGAATATAGCCGGTTGTCGCTGGTGGATCGCCGATGGAAAAGGTGTTGATGGTGTGGCTGTTCTCCCCGACTAGTTCTTTGCTTTAAACGTCGACGATAAACTACGGGGTCAGTTCGAACTGAGTAGTAAGCGGTGCTGTGGAGGGTCGAGAGGATAAAAATCACAAAAGTGGTCTCATATTTGGAACAGGGGCCGAGGCAAACATCAATCCAAAGCAACCATCATTTATCTTAGCATGGAAAGCATAGTTTCTACATGGAAATAGCGCCCACAGAGCAGATTCACACTGGATGAAGTGTTTTGAACTGAACTCTTCTTCCTAAATCTATGCTTGCAGGCGGTAGGCGAAAGGATTACACGCCTGGCTTGCAATCCTTAAGTCACCGATTCGAATCCGCCTATGTGCGGAAGTCCTTGTGGTATACTAATCTCACGCGCTACCGGTGATGGATGCGTGGTAGCAAAGCGTCGGTGTACTGGACCAGTGTACTGCTGATGACCTTTTATGTATGTAGACGTTTATTGATTCCGTCAACAAAATTGACAGCATTCGCTGGCTTAAGATTGGGGGCATCTAAAGTGTGGTATATTCACACATTTCACATAACAAATCAGACTTAGTGTTGCCGGAACATTTAAGGTTATGCTGAATAAATACAAAATGGCATACATGGTGGTTTGTGCGTTGCATAACTAAAGCATATTTTACTGGCGTCATTCTAAATAATTTTAAAACGTGATATATCGCGTTGAGTTACTTCAGCGTCCATTAGTTCCTTGGTTAAAGTTCCAGAAATTACACTGGTTCCCATTATTTTAAACTCATTTTAGACAATCTAAATATTTTAAATATTTTTTCTGTTTGATCAAAAATGGGAAATATAGGAAAAGCGAAAAGGTATGGACTACCTAACTACTGTTTATTTGAGGTGCCTAATTTTCGCCGTGTTTGTATTCGTTTTTATCCAGCGCAAATTAGGTTATATATTCCTTTAGAATTTGTGACAGTCATTGCATGCAAGGGCTGCAACCATCAGTTCTGTCTACTGACATCGTGACATTCAGCTTGGGATTAACAAAATTGTTTGTAACCTGATTGAAAATTTGTTTACATTTTACAAAAATACACGTATATAAAGTTTGTACTATCTCAGACGAATACCTTGTACTCTGTACAGGATTGTGTCACCATGCTAGAAGAAACTGATGGTTCTCTGGAAGTCAAAATTTTCATTACTCCTTCAGGTGATGGACAAAATGATTAGAATGATGTCAATAAAGTGATTCAGGATGCTGAATCTCTTCAGTGAAATTAGCTTAACGATACCTCGTGGATCAGTATGTACAGTCAAGCTGGAGGGTGAATCATTCATGGGGATTCAGAAAGACAAAATGTAATTTTTCAAGAGTGAGTCGCTGCTCTTACGTACGATTGGATTACGACAACTCAAAAGGTTATCAGACTTATACTATACAGAAAAGGGGACCTTATCTACGATCACAAACTCCAAGCTAAAAATGCGTGTGCACCCGATTTGTTAAAAGGGGATTTTACACCTCAGAAGACAGTTGAACAGTTTTTTGATGACTTTGTTATTCACCATATGTTAATGCAGACAATTGAGTACACCCATATAAAACGTGGCCACTCCACTGGTATAACCCAGGACAAAATGCGTACTTTTCTGGATAATTTGGTTCTTTTGATCTAGTATCCACCACCAAAAGGTCCCTGTGTTAGGATCCTGAAATGATGTCCACAGTGCAACCGGCAGTAGAAGAATGAGTCGTGATAATCAAGAAGAATCGCCATCTGTCGAACAACCGTTGTCTCTCGGCAATGGACAACTTGCAGAAGTTAGACCACTATATTACTTTTGCAATGAACAATTTATGAAACTTCCCCAGGGAAGAAAATCCGAGTGTAGATGAGAGTAATATACACTAATATAATCAGCATAGATCGGAGCAATGTGTTAACGGGGCAGGCACCCCTTCCTAGCATCCAGAAGTGTTGACCATGACGCAGGCCGGAGCTTACTGGTCAACCAATGACAGCAGCCCTATGATGACATGTCATCTTGAATGCTGCCAACGAGGACGGTCTAGCTTGTAGTCCGCCAGTGGGAGTTAGGTGATTCCCTTATTAACTATTGATTCCACCTCATTATTTGATTTGCTTAAACTACTTGCCGGGTGCGCAATACGGTCTTTTGTCTGAGGCCTTCTAATATGGAAAGTTGGCCAGTCAGCTTGAGTGGTAGCAGTAGGGTATCCGTAAAATCAGCGGAAACAACAACAAATTTTGGCGCCAAAGGTGAACTAACTTAGGATGCCAATCTCCTCAGAAGACCTGAATACCATTTTGTTTCGACAGCACCAGCAATTTGAAGCCGCCCAGTTATGAATGATTGCGACTCTCACCCGAACGTTATCACTGCAGTCCACACCTCTCCAGACTAGTGGGAAGCCTTCAGCGGACACAGAGATCTGCAGTGTTAGTGGGGTTCAATTTGATTCTGATTTAGGACCATGCTTCGATGCTTGATTCAAGCGCTACGAAGACGTTGCAGGGACAGAGTTGTCAAGTCACGAGGATGTATCAAAAGTTCGTTCGTTGTTGCGAAAGCTGGGAACGAGCGAGCATAATAGATATCTCAACTAGGTTTTGACCAAGTGCGCCTCTGATTTCAGCTTTGATTCCACAGCTACTCGGCTGACGGAAATGTTTGGAGACCAGTCCTCGCTATCCAATAGTCCGTACAACTGTTTGAAGCTTTGCAAAAAAGACAGTGACAGTTAAGCATGTATGCCGGAAATTTAAACAAGAGTCCCGTACCGAAACCCAGTTCGAGTGCCTGATATTAATGTGCAGTTTGCGGTCCCAAAAAGATGCCGAAATCCGGACCAGAATACTTGAGATGTTGAAATGCAACACAGATGTCACATTCCAGAACGTCATTGCTGAAGCCCAGTGGATGATGAATTTAAAGCACGACACAGCTATGGTGGAGGATTCAAAGATCCATACTGATGATATTATTGTCCAGCAAGTTTCCAGAAGCAACACCATAACAAACGAGCACGGGATATGTCCACAAGCTAAACCTCCATCTGCTTTCTGGCAATGGGAAGGTGGGCATTTTGCGAGATGGTGCCCCTTCAGCAAGAACATTTGCCGAAAGTGCCAAAGATATGGACACAAGGATACCCACTGTAAGTCTAAAGTACCTTTTCGGCCACCATACACTGCACAAAGCCAAGGTCACAGAAAGTTTGAAAGACCAGTAAACTTCAACTGCTCCGATGATGTTAAAGACAGAAGAAAATTTGTCACTATCAGCACCGATGGGCGACTGGCGAATTTGCAAATTGACACGGCATCCGACATCAGTGATGCGGCGAGCGCATCAGGCACCAAATTGGATGTGATTGGTCGGATTGAGTGCGAGTGCCGTTTTCCGCTTTCACCGCTTGGGGAACTATTTGTAACAAAATTCACCTGAATTTGAACCTACTAAGACTAGATAGGATTGAACTTATTAACCTCCTAGATGTTTCCATCAACCAGATCTATGCAAGTGCTCAACTACACAAGCCGAAGGTCCCGAAGACAGTGGCCGTCCAACACATTTGAGAAGAATATGCGGACGTTTTTAGTGAGGGTCTCGGTAAGTTCATGTAGATAAAAGCCCCATTATTCTTAAAACCCTATGTTGTTCCGATCTTTCGTGAAAGGCGGTCAGTATCTTACGCGGTAGTTCTAATTAATGACCAAGAACTAGATCGCTTGGAGAAAGCCGGGGTTATCTATGCAGTGAACTACTCATCTTGGGCAGCTTTGATCGTGGTAGTCAAGAAGCCTAATGGCCGAATTCGAATATGTGCCGACTTCTACACAGGCCACAATGAAGCGCTGTTGGCTGTTTGTCTAGTTGTTAGACTGCTGATATAACCACCACCACCACCAATGAAGCGCTAAGCTCTCATCAGTAACCTCTGCCCATTCCAACTGGTTTGTTTTCAAAACTATATGGGGGTTGTTGTTTTTGCAATGCTGGATTTATCGGATGCGTACCTACAAGTAGAAGTTAATGAGCTTGCAAGTGTAGTACTGACCATTAATACGCACCGGGGATTGTGTCGATAACATCGACTTCCGTTCGAGGTCAATTCCGTGCCAGCAATATTTCAACCAATCATGGATACGATGCCGACAGTCGTAGATGCTGCTGCCTCATATTTGGATTACATTATTGTTGTTGGTGCAAACGCAGATGACCTCTTCAAAAAGCTGAACCTGGTACTTGCTTGTTTACAAGAGTGTAGATTCAGGGCGTGCGCCTAAAAATGCACATTCTTCATGGACACAATTATATATATATATATATATATATATATATATATATATTCAACAACACGGCCAATAGTGCCATTGGCATATTGCCACAACGTATTGAAAATCCAGGAAACATACGAAGGTAGAGGGGAAAGAACGATGTTCATGGGAATAGTAAGTCACAACAAGTCCGCCATTGTGCATCATTTATTGTCATATCCAAGAGTGATTTCAGCCATGTGTGTTCCGGGTCCTTCACACTCCGGCCAGAGAGCTGAGAACACCCGACCACGGCTAAATTTAACGTTAGCTCCCGCATGCTCCTGACCCAAGTCTTACATTGACCAACTTGCTTCCGCTTCCAGCCGACTTCTGCTTGCGCGAAGTGGGCACAGCGAAATAATCGGTGAGCAGGCATGCGGAGAACGTGCCCAAGCCACTGAAGTCTGCGCAGAGAAATTACTCTGCTCAGTGGCCGGAAAAGTCTGTCTAACGTGAAAATCCTCCGTCGAAAAACTTCATTTCCAGTGTGATGTTGCCATCGTACACCAGCAATGCTCCGAAGGCAGCGGTGATAAAACACAGACCGCCTCGCAACATCCTTTGTGCGAACAGGCCAAGTCTCGCAGCCATAGAGGAGAACGGCTCTCACTGTAGCCTTGTAAAATCGGCTCTTCAGAGGTAGACTCAGATCACATCGACGCCCGAGATAGCGGAGATTGGTAAAAGCAACCCGAACTGTGGAGACGCGCAAAGAAACCTCATCCGTTAAACCATTAACACTAACGTAGCATCC